TGTTGTAAAGGCATTTGATAAGTGCCTCTACAGTACTAGAAAAATGTCTATACAGAGTATTTTTCTTGTAGTGCGATTTTTTTTTAGGGGAATCAGGAACCGATTTAAAGGAGATAATTTTCAAATTCTTGAGGCATGCAAACTAGCACGAGACCAATGCTCAAGGAGTAGTGCTCCAGTCCAATATAAGCCGCTGTCGCTGAACAGTGCTCTCCATTGTGTCTGTTCTAAGTGCCATAATAATTAGTATTTAACGAATGGTCTGCAAAAAGACTCTGTAGTGACAAAACTGCCAAAAAGCATGTCCATATCATCGTTGCAATCATAGGTGTCCATATTTCACATGATTAAAAAAATGCAGACTTAAAATCAATAATTTCATAAAAACTTATCATTAAAGTTAATTACCCTGAGGAATAATATAATAATTATGATTCCTTTAAAACGCGAGAAATTTCACAAAAATTGTAGTGAAAACAATTTATTTCAAGTAAAATTCTTGCAAAAAATTTTCCATACTCACCATCAATAAAGGTAATAAAAAATAATTCAAAGTTTGCAATGAGATCACTTTGTTTATACTTTCCAGTCCCCTAATTTTTCTATCAATCATCTAAATTTAATTTGATTTGCACAACAATACGAAATTGCAAGTTTTAGCATGCGATGTTTTATATTTTTCATAGGACCACATGTATATGCTTTTATGCTTATCTAGACTCTAGATTATAGATTTGTTCATTCTCGATTTGGCTCTAGCTAATTAGGTCATTATGTTGGGCTGTCCATGCATTAACAAGGGAAATCATTCCCCCGACAAGTTCTCTATCTGTGGCAAAGTCTGAAAGGAGATATTCTCAAATTTACAACTGTTTTCTAGTATACAAATTAAGGCTTGACAGTGAGCACAGCTCCAAGATACACGGCTTTCTTTGAACATTGTACCCCCACTGTATCTATCTTATGTGTCGTTTAGTTACACTAAACGAATGGTCCATACAAGAGTCTGATCGCAAGATCTCCCAAAAACAAGTCCATCATGTACAACGACTGGTACCACATCTTTCAAGTGTACAACAATATGGTATCTACAAAACTAGAATCAATTCATTCAAAACTAATCATGAACTTCTCTTTTCATTCATTAAAAACTAATCATTAACTTCTCTTTCGAAGGAAAAAGGGTAATTATTAGATCAATTTTTGCTATCGACTTTGCTCCCTGACGGTCAAGGTGCCATTTTCAACCTCTAGCCATGGGAGAGGGAGAAGCGGGATACTGATGGTAGAACTCACCTGCGGCTTCTTCTAGCAACGATGCATGATTTCCTCTAGTGGTGATGCGACATTGGCAATGACTTACTCCAAAAAGCATGCTGAATTAGTTCAGCAGGGTTAAGAGCAGAGGCGGGAAGAGGGTTTGGGGTAGGGTGAAGCTGTATGGCTTGAAATCCCTGCAATAGGAGGTGACCACGGTAGGTCACTGTGAGGTGGTTATGGCCCCGGCTCAGCCATGGGAGAAGAGAAGGTTGGTTTGTCAACGTTGCTCACATAGGAGAAATTTGTCTATGTGGTTAGGAGGTGGGGGCAAAGACAATAGATCGGAGACGAGGAAGAGAGGTGAGTTATGTAACTTATGGTGGCTTGATCTTCTGATGAGGAGAGATAACTATAATTTTGTGAAGAAAATGTTAACAATTCAATAACAAGCAAACAAGATGTTGTGTTGCACTGTAGCAATCGATATATCTATTCATAAAGTTGTTAATCTTGCAGACAGAAATTAACCTTATTATTGCCTACTTGCCAACAGTCAAAGAACAATCAAGAATGATATATAAAAGTGATCTAATTAAATTGCAGATAGGAATAAAGCACACGATAAGTTGGGATTGCGAGAACAAATATCAAGACATCCAACGGTCTAGCCAACGTACACGATTATACAACAAAGTAGCAGTAATACCCTAGCACTTCCACAATCAGGTTTGGCCTATGTGCGTATTCTAGTTCCAATTTTAGACCCATTAGGGCATCACCAATGTATATAGCTAAAGTGATCCATATAGATGGGACCCACACAAATAGACTTTAATATAGCAATCTCCACAATGTATGTGGATACAAGATAGCATTAGAAGATGAGAGAGAAATAGAGATAGATAATATTATTTATTCCATATGGGTAGTCCATATGCATATAGGTACCTTTTGTTATTTTCTTTATATGGACTAGTTGCACAATGTTAATAGGTGGCTGAATGAAATATTATATTCCCTATGGACTACTTTTGCGTCACATTGTGGATGCCCTTAGTCCCAACTGTTCGTTTGGTGAGAATAGTCTCGCATTGAAAGTTTAAATAGGTTAAGGCTAGCTTATACACCCATGTCACTCCAACCATAGTACCTCCGAATATGAGCCCACTCAACATGTGGAGCTCACCTAATACGATTATTGGAGGCGAGGGTATTATAGTTGGTACCAGAGCTTCAACTGAAGCTACATGGGTGTGCGTACATGTTGGCCTGTGGAGGGGACACAATGCATCACTGTAGAACCAAGGGGATATCCTAGGTAGTTGCTTCGTTGCACGGGTATGGTGTGTGTATGTGTTGGCCACATGGAGGGAACACACATAGTACCGTAGCACCGATGGGAGATATTGGGTAGTCGTATGCCGATTAGTGATATGCTACTAAGGGCATCGGCCTGTGAAGGGGTTGGGGGCAAGGAGGATGGGGAGTGTAATACCTCAGCTTGTTCGTAATCAAGTTCGGTCTATGTACGTGTTTTACACTACTAAAAGATGATTTTTCAGGACACTTGGGTTTTATTTTCACCGGAGGACTAAAAAGTCATGCTTGTAAAAATAACGAGAGGCCCTGAAATCCTAGCCCCTTCAGAAAAAATAGATTTTTATTGGTGGGGGTGCGGTTCTCTTAAGACCTCACTTATAAAAATCGATTTTTCCAAGTGGGGTCTAAGGAACACTACCTAAAAACTCGTAAAAGGCATAAAAAGATGCTTCCAAACCAAATCATGAAGTCTCTTTTCCCCTCCCTCTTTTAATCCTCAACTCTCACACCTCTCCTCTCAATCCATACCTCCCTCACCTGATCTCCTTCACTCGATTTGATGAGAAGGGTGGTGGTGGCGGCCAGCGACCGGTGGTGGCAAAGGGCAGGGTGGCGGAATGGGGACTGTGGTAGGGCTCGATTGTGGCAATGACGTAGGGGACGAGGCAGCTCGATCCAAATCAAGTGGCCTCAGTGACACATTACTAGAGAACTGATCTTTGCTTGGATGGCAAAAATCATATTTGCCCCGGTTCGAATAGGAATCGGGACTAAAGAATATCTTTAGCCCCGGTTCAAAAGCCCAACGGCACTTTTATGGTTTTTAGCCCCGGTTGGTAACTGAAGATCATTTTTAGCCACGGTTCAATAGTTATCAGGCCATGTCAGGCCCCCAACCGGAACTAAAGATCATTTTTAGCCACAGTTCAATAGCTATCAGACCGTGTCAGGCCCCTAACGATCTTTAGTCCTGATTAGTGTTAACAACCTGGATTAAAGATCATCACTTTAGTTCCGGTTGCTATTACTAACCTGGACTAAAGATGAGGGATCTTTAGTCCCGGTTAGTAATACCAACTCGGACTAAACATTGATCTTTAGTCCTGGATGGTAACACCAACCCGGACTAAAGATATTTTTAGTCATGTTTGGTGTTACCAACACGGACTAAAGATGCTTCCAGGGTTAGTTTAAAAAAGAAGCATATATATCCAAATCAGATGTGTGTAGTAGGTGGGATGGTAACGTGCGTGAGGATTGCAGTGAGAGATCTTAAGTTCGAATCCCACATCTAAAGATGGGCATCCCAGTTGCACAATTGGGCCGGACAGTGTTATTTCAATTGGGCATCCCAGATAGGCATCTGGCGGGCCTCGGAAGTAGTGGATTATTTTACTCAAAAATATTTTAGCTAATGGGTCTCTTTACACTACCACCAACGAAAATTGTTTTCCGCTAAAAAAATAATTTGCGCTAGCCGTTAGTGGTTGGCCTTTTTTTCTAAAGTTGTGCTTGTTCCAGTTTACACTCGTTAGACCCAAGTGAGTGTTTGTTTGACATTTTGACTCCAATCGGTAATGAAATTTGTATGATACAGTTTGTCCTGGAGATCGAACTTGTACCAGCAAGTTGCGATAAAAAAAAAAAGAAAAGAAGAAAAACTACACCAACGTGTGCAGCTTTCATTCATCCAGCGACGGTACGGAGGACCACCGATTGCTCTCTGTCGTCCCGTACTACGTCATCTCCAGTCATCTTCTCCCACACCTGCGCCGCGTTGATTTCGGTTAACCCCTCTCTTCACCGCCCACCTCGATCAGGCAGTCGGAGCCGGATTGAGTTACTACATGACTTTGAGCTACTTATATGTGGGACCTCTTTACTATGAGCTCCACATATTAATGACTTAAAATTATCTGATTTAGGCCTTGTTTAGTTTAGGGGTGAAAAGATTTAGCGTGTCACATCAGATACACGGATATATATTTGAATTATTAAATGTAGTCTAATGATAAAATAAATTACAGATTCCGCCTGTAAACTGCGAGACGAATTTATTAAATCTAATTAATATGTTATTAGCAAATGTTTACTGTAGCACCACATAACCACATTATCAAATCAAGGTGTAATTAGGCTTAAAAGAATTACACCTAATTTGTGTAATTAGTTTTTTTTTCTATATTTAATACTCCATATATGTGTCAAAATATTCGATATGACGGGGTGAAAATTTTTTGCGTGAAAACTAAACATGGGCTTTAATGTAGAGTATCTCAATCCGTCGGAGCTACCGTCGTGCTCACCCGCGTGGCCGCAGGCCCGCCCCAAAAAGATCGTCGTCGCCGCCCGTCGCCGTCACACCCCTCTCACCACCACCACCACCACCACCCGAGCAATAATTTCTGGGGGAGGGCCGCGGAGATGCCGTCACCGGCCGGGGGGCGAGGTGGCCGCGCCGCGGCCACAGAATCCCGGCGAGACGACCGTGAGTCGCTCGATCGCTCACGGGCTCGCGGATTGCATTATCCTCACCTGCCGCCGCTGCTGCTACGCCCGCCATTCTTTCTGTCGCCTACTTGCTTCCTCCTCTTCCTCTTCCTCTTCCCTCGTCTCCCCGGCGCCACCTGACTGATTGGATTGGTATCGATCCAAGCCTATCAGCCTAGCTAGTGACCTGAGTACTCTGCTGTCTGCTGCCTGAATCTGAATCGATCGATCACTCGCTCGCTGCCTGAAGAGAGGTTGCTGATTAATTTGTCTCTCTCTCGTCTTACTTCCCTTTTTATGTGGCTTCTCGTTGAGTTGGAAGAAGTGGTAGACCAGTAGCCCAGATAAGGAAGTGGATAGGGTAATGGAACAGTGAAGAGAGAGAGAGAGAGAGAGAGAGAGAGGGGTGTTTTGATTGGTGTACCATTCTTCTGTCAGGTTGCTGTTCTTTACATTTCTGAACTTGAACAGTGAAAAAAATGGATGGGTTTTTTTTATAGTACTCCCTAGATAAGCAAAAGAATCCTTCTGTTTAGGTATCTTTGCCTTTCTCGTGGTGTCCTAGATTTGTTGGAGCAAGGGTTGGTTGCATGGTTTTGTGATGATTAATTTGTTCCTTTTTGGGTGGATGTGAGTGTAATGTATGAATTTTCTGATTATTATTATTTTTTTGGTGTTGTTTGCAGCAAGAATCGATGGTTGCACGGCCAAGATTGCTACACCTTCGCTGATAAATAGCCGAGGACAATCTCATCGGCATCCATGGCGGGCAGCAGCAGCTCGAAGGAGATAGTCGACGCGGTGGAGAAGTGGATGGCGTTCCCCACCTCCGGCGGCGGCGGCGCCACCGCCGGCTTGGAGATCGTCGCCGAGGATGCGCCTAGCGGAAGCAGCGGCGCCCACCAGCAGCAGGCGTGGCGTCCGGTGGCGCCGGCGACGGCGGGGCGCGACAGCGGCGGCACGGGGAGCGGCAAGTCGTCGGTGGACGGCGGCGTCGGGCGCGCGTCGCACGACTCCCTGCCGCGGGTGTCGCAGGAGCTCAAGGACGCGCTGTCGAGCCTGCAGCAGACGTTCGTGGTGTCCGACGCGACGCGCCCGGACTGCCCCATCATCTACGCCAGCGAGGGGTTCTTCACCATGACCGGCTACTCCCCCAGGGAGGTGGTCGGCCGCAACTGCCGCTTCCTCCAGGGCCCCGACACCGACGCCGCCGAGGTGGCCAAGATCCGCGACGCCGTCAAGCACGGCCGCAGCTTCTGCGGCCGCCTGCTCAACTACCGCAAGGACGGCGCCCCGTTCTGGAACCTCCTCACCGTCACCCCCATCCGCGACGACAACGGCAAGGTCATCAAGTTCATCGGGTAAGTAAGCGAAGCACTAGTCGTTCGTCGCCATTGATGAGATGAGATGAGCTTTGCATTCGAGTTCTGGGCTGCGATTCTGATTCGGGTATGAGCGAACAGGATGCAGGTGGAGGTGAGCAAGTACACGGAGGGGCTCAGCGACAAGCGGATGCGGCCGAACGAGTTGCCGGTGTCGCTCATCCGCTACGACGGTGAGCACCGCCGCCGCCGCCGCGGAATCCTCTGTTTCCTCGATGTTTCTCTAATTCTCTTGTCTTACCAATGCCGCCATTGGCGTGTGTGGAGCGCAGAGAGGCAGAAGGACAAGGCGATGTCGTCGATGACGGAGGTGGTGCAGACGGTGAAGCAGCCGCGCGGGGCGCGCGCGCCGGCCGACGCGGCGCTGCTGACGCCGCCCAAGATGAGCGACGCGGACAAGATGGCCGCCATGTCGCCGGTCGTGGCACCCGGCACTCCCTCGGGCGGAGGAGGAGGAGCCGGGTCCTTCAAGTCGCCGCTCTGGGACCTGAAGAAGGAGGAGTCCCGCCTGAGCCGGCTCGCCAGCGGCCGCAAGTCCGGCCGCTCCTCCCTCATGGGGTCAGACTCTCGCACCCCACCTGTTCGACAGATTGCCGGGACGGCAGTGACACTGAGAGTTGTGTCTGTCCATGCTTTGGCAGGTTCAAGATCGGGAAGAGGAGCTCGGTGGGGAGCAGGGAGGCGCCGGCGGTGGTGGAGGAGCCGGCGCCGGCGCCACCGCCGGCGCCGGAGGTGGTGGAGAGGACGGACAGCTGGGAGCGGGCGGAGCGGGAGAAGGACATCCGGCAGGGGATCGACCTGGCCACCACGCTGGAGCGCATCGAGAAGAACTTCGTCATCACCGACCCCAGGATCCCGGACAACCCCATCGTAAGCAGCCACTTCGCCGCCGCCGGTCTCTTCTTCTCGCCGGTCGCCGGCGTGTTTGCGTGTGCTGGTGGTGACTGACAGAATGGGTGTGGTGTGGGGGGGTTGTGCAGATCTTCGCGTCGGATAGCTTCCTGGAGCTGACGGAGTACACGCGGGAAGAGATCCTGGGAAGGAATTGCAGGTCGGGAGTTCAAAACCCCCTTGCTCACATCTTTTTATTGTTTGTCAAGTGAATCAACTAGTGTTGTACGTAAAACGAGGTGATAATAACTTGTAGTTAATTGAATTTTAATTATTACAAACTTAGGAAAATAAATTAATCTGATATTTTAGAATAACTTTCATATAGAAAATTTTCGCACGAATCGCACATTTTAACAGTTTAAGAAGCGTGCCACGAATACCCGAAACTTTATCTCCCCTCTGTTGGGTTCTCGAATAGAGGCAAAGTGTTGTCTCGAGGGATTAGAATCCATATCTATATTTATAATATATTTACATGCCTGCCTATGAGTTGGTTTATGTAATTTGTAAGGTTGTGTTTCTTTGGTGTACTCTATTCTCTCGTTTTTCACGCAAATGCTCCTCAAACTACTGTATATTTTTTAAAAAAAAATATCTATAGAAAAGTGGTTTAAAAAATTATATTAATTATTTTTCAAAATTTTAGTTAATATTTAATAAATCATATGATAATGAGTCGTTGTGTATTGTGTGTGTGAAGGATAATTCCCATCCCTTTGAGCCAAACACACACAACCTAATTGTCGTGGTTAGGATAAAGAAAAAACTTGATGTTCGTCCGCCTATGTTTGGTTGATGGTGTAAATTGGTTTTCATAAATATGCATTTTTTTAAGCATGAGTAGATAAACTTAATGTTATATACTTTCTCTGTCCCCTAATATAAGAGATTTTGACATTTTACTTACACTGTTTGACCACTCGTCTTATTTAAAAAATTTGTGCAAATATAAAAACAAAAAGTTATGCTTAAAATACTTTGGATAATAAAGTAAGTCAAAAATAAAATAAATAATAATTTCAATTTTTTTTAAATAAGATGAATGGTCAAACAGTATAAGTAAAATATCACAATACCTTATATAGGGGACGGAGGGAGTATGGCATATGTTTTTTATTATAGATATCTTAACGTGAGGATTATGGATAATTCAAAAGTTTAAGCGGTGCCAAAACTCTTTTACAGTACTGTCGATGTTTGATGTCGCGATTCCGGTATTTGCATAGTATGGGGATCGTTGGTACTAGGGTATACGTGAAACTGAAGTAAAAGAGATGGAGACAGGGATTTTTATACAGGTTCGGGCTGTCACGTAATAACCCTACATCCTGTTGGCCGAAGCCGGTATTGCTCTTATTCATCATAATCACACCAATACAATATTTGGGGTAGCCTATCTAACTGTTGTCGATATGGCGGTCTGAAGGTCTGACTCGTAGTCGACAACAAGGCAGTCTTCCTCCTCGAGTTCGTGTCCGGCGAGATCAGAGACAACGCTAGATCCCTACAGTCGGCCTCTGTAGGAACCGGATAGGGTCGATCCAGGTATATCTCTGTTGTCGATATCTGGCGTTTGTCTTGGCGTATGTTGGCTTGTATGTTGTGGCTTCTGTTGTTCCGTGTATGTTGATTGTCTCCCCTCTCTTCCTAGGGGGTCTTGTATTTATACCAATAGGTGTCCCCTTGTCCATGTAGAACTAGGAAAACCAATATGGATACAACCCGAGTAGTCCTTGTCGTTTCCATGTAGAACTCTATTCATCCTTCCTTATGCGGAACTCCTTCTATATTCGAAGATTATTTCCGTATAAGACATGGTATGTGGTGGGTCCTGCCGAGATTTAATCAACTACTATTAGGTATGTGGTATCCATAACCCTGATAAATACGATAGCATAATTCTCTAGATAAAAAATACTCTAGAAAGTTCCACCCTAGAGATTGTGCTGATTAAAAAAAAGCATATTACCTTTCGTGAAAAATGTTATTTTTCTCTTTTGTGAAATTTAAGAAAATTCTATAGCATTTCTAAACTTATCGCCTAAATAAAAAACAAAAAGGGTTTAAAAAATATTTATAGTAGTATAGTGACTGAAGTTAGACAGTGCAACTAAAAATCACACTACAAAGGCAGGCAACATGTGACAGAAATTGGACTTGTGACCTACTAAACACGGTACTCGTGACATCTGATCTTGGGTCAGACTAGGCTCATATCCCAAGGCCCAAGCCCAAGCCCAAGCCCAGCCCAATCGCAACGGCGGAGCGGCTTTGCCCACCGCCGCCGCCGTCGTCGCCGTCGTCCGCGGCCTGCGTAAGCCTAGCCCCGACGGCGATCCGCCGCCGCATCCACCCCTCCTTGCCGCGGCTAACCTCGCATCCTCCCGTCGCGCGCGCCGGCGGCGGAGGAGGTTATCTCCGCGACCGTGCCCCCCATGGTGGTGTGGGCTACTAGCGTCGCGCGCACGCGCCGCCATGGCTGGTCGGCGGTCGTGCTATGTAACTCTCGACGTTTGTGCTTCTGTTCCCATGGCCTTGTTGCTTGGTGAATTTAATTGTTTCCTCTCCTCCGCATTTGAATTTATAGTTGCGGTCTTGCTGATTGTGGCAGATTCCTTCAAGGGCCGGAGACCGACCAGGGCACGGTGGACAAGATCAGGGAGGCCATCAGGGAGCAGAAGGAGATCACGGTCCAGCTAATCAACTACACCAAGAGCGGTAATGCTCCAAACTCTGGACACGAATCCCTCTCTTGAACTGGATAGATATTGAGATTTTAGATGATATACAGTAGTACTGTTGGATGATGTAGAAGCTCTGATGATTTTGTCTGATTTTGGATTGTTGTGTGATCAGGGAAGAAGTTCTGGAACTTGTTCCACCTTCAACCCATGCGCGACCAGAAGGTATCTGAAAAATCTGTGCCAAATGCTACTCCCAAGTATTTTGGAGCTTGCAATTTTTAACTAGTAGTGGGTATGATTACTACATGGTAGTGATTGCACATCTGTGAGTGCAGGGGGAGCTTCAATACTTCATTGGTGTGCAACTTGATGGAAGTGATCATGTTGAACCCCTCAGGAACCGCCTTTCGGAGAATACTGAGATACAGAGTGCCAAATTGGTAGGCCAGCTTACTGTATTAATTTCCATTTCAATGATCTCAAATATAAATTGGTGTATAATATTTTAATTTAGGAATAAGATGAGATGAATCTAGAGACTGGGTCAATCAGTTGGATAGCATTTGATTTGGTTACGTCTCAATCAGTTGGATACTGTTTAGTTGGTTCAGGTCCATAACATGTTGTGTTTTTGGATGGCTTAGTTTCATACTTCAGTATACCAGTAAATTGTATAATAATTCCCTGTATATTATTGTTGCTTCAGATTCACATATACTGAAACTTGGAAACGCCGAGCAGACTTGTAGGTTGTAGCATTGCTTTAAGATTTGAAATATGCTAATTCATTTTCATACGGTGTCCAATTAGGTCAAAGCTACAGCAGAGAATGTGGATGATGCAGTCAGGGAGCTTCCTGATGCCAACTTGGTAAGGTACATCTGCTTTTTGTTGTTTCACTTTATTAGTAGTTAGTTCTTGATGGAAGTTGTCAGCAATGTGAAAATGTAGAACCAACTTTGCGCCCAAAAAAAAAATGTAGAACCAACAATAATTGCTCAGTTCAAAACAAGACATGAAAAATAGTATGGGCCCATACTAGACTATGCAATAATGGATTAAATCCTTAATGGTGACAAATAATTTGTACCATCATCAATCTTCATAAAGAACTGAAGATTATTTGGCGAAATGGAAACCTCATTCAATCTTAGTGATGAAATATTTAAGAAATACCAACAGGAGCACAATAACCACCAGGTCCTAGTAGCAACCTTAGAAACATTTTATAAGTGACTAATGTGAAAATTGATACGATGGCTTGTGGCCCTAAATAAAATTTTTCAACAGAGATATAGAACTTCAAACCGTGTGTATGCACGCTGACGTTCACACTTAAATGATTGTTTTGGTTTGCTCCTCGCATCTGTTTGCACTTGGCCATTGTGCAGCACACTGTAAACAACTAATATCTAAATTATAAAAGAGAAAAAATGGTAATGTACCTTATATGAATATTGTAGTTAGAGAAGTATTTTATTTAACTTTTCTCTGTTATGTTGGGGCATAACACAATCTATCTTTGTCTCAGAGACCAGAGGATTTGTGGGCAATTCACTCAATGCGTGTTTCTCCAAAACCTCACAAACGGAATAACCCTTCTTGGATAGCTATAGAAAAGGTACGTTAATTTTGTTGTTTGGTGCGCAAATTCTATTACTGCAGCAGCAATGAGTCAAACTGTACCAAATTAGATAATACTCTATAATATATAATGCTAGGCTTATAGCAAAAGAATTCCTCTGACTAGCTGAGTAAGTGAACTTGGAGGTTAACGCCAATAGTGTCTCATGTTATCCTTTTTAACCAGATTTCCTGGCAAGAATGCATTAATATTTGTTAAATAGAAAGCAAGGCAGAAAAGGGATGATGGTGTGTTGTCCAGCGCCTATATGTTTGTTACTATTATGCTGAAAGTAGGACTACTGTAGAACATGATGGAGGTAATTGAGAGCACATATTATGTATGATGCTGCATTTCACCCATTTTCAGGCAGTAACTTAGTTCATAACTAAGCTTATTGAAAGTGTACATGGTCTCATTATTTGCGATGTTTTGCCACCTAGTAAATCTAGATGTGAATAACGAGGATGTGTAGTGTGTATCTCATAACTAGATATGTACGTTTGCACTCTGTATAATATTAGTTTCACGATAGATCATGTAGTTTCTGTTTTTGCGATTTTTGTTTACATGTACAGATCATCCAGAAAGATGCTCAACATGCAAACGCTTTAGACATTTTATGCATTATATAGATAGGTCGCTAGCTCTGCCGGGATGAGGTCGGTTTCAGGTTTTGAGTTTGTTAAGGCCTAGGCCTGTGGGGTCTTGGTGAGGAGAGGGGTCCCTCCCCGTTCCTCCGTTTTCTCTTCTTCATAATGAAATGATACGCAACTCTCTTGCATATTCAAGAAAAAAGTTTATGCATTATATTATATATGGTCCGTCAAAAGCGCTAACCAGCACCCAGGTTAGTTTGAGCGTGCTGTCCGCATGACTATAAACATGTTCCAGTGAATTAGTACATGAATCCATGCAAAGTAATGACTGTAATCACACATGTTCCAAAGTAGCAAATGTGTACCCCTGGATTGTACTAAATGGCTGGACGCTGGTAGCACCCTAAGCTCTTAATAGTCTCTGATTTTTAAAAATATGATAATGTGCATCCTAAAATTGAATGGGAAACATATTAACTGAAACTCCCAAATTAAATTCTATGAAACCATAAATTTTTTATTATTATTTGGCATGCAGGCTACAAATTTAGGGGAGAAGATTGGCTTGAAACACTTCAAGCCTGTAAAACCTCTCGGCTGTGGTGACACTGGCAGGTACTAAGATGTCCTGAACAATCTTCTATACGATGTCTTTTTGCTAACTGATAGATGGTTGTTATATCTTCTGAAAGCATGCTGTCAGAAACAAAATGTTTACTTTGACTGCATCATAAAAAACTGGTAACGTCAGTCATAGTTTTGTCTAGTTTGGATTAATTAAAATGTTTTTTTAGTAAAAATAGTCACTACCATGACACTAAGTGGTTCGACGGGATCTTGAAATTCTTTAATGGCCTTAACAGGACAAACCAGAAATATTCTTTTATGTGGCTACAAGTTAGCAGGACTGGATACAACTAGTATAATATTAATGTTAGGTTTTTTCTAATTGGATAGAGTATATTTCTTAGGCTCCCTTGTTCTTTTCTGTATGGTGCATGTCTAGGTTATAGTGCCTCTATACCACCCTGTTTAAGTATCTCTATACCATCTCTTTGTTTTTGAATTCAGTGTGCACTTGGTTGAGCTACAAGGAAGTGGTGAATTATTTGCAATGAAGGCCATGGACAAGTCAGTGATGTTGAACCGCAACAAGGTAATTTTAATTCATGAACATGAGCATGCTGTTATGTTGTTATTGTATTTCCATCCATGCTGGATGTGATCAACCTTTTTCCTGCTGTTGCTAGTACGATAAGGTGCAAGAATTACTTCAACTCCCTCTCTCTTGCAGGTACATCGAGCTTGTATTGAAAGAGAAATATACGCACTATTGGATCATCCATTTCTCCCAACATTGTATACTTCATTTCAGGTTAGACTGACATTGTTATGACCAATGCTTTATCCCAGATATTTTGTATTGCTAGTTAAATAAAATAATTACTCATAGTTTCAGTTAAATATGGCTTCTGTAAGGTGTTCATCATTTCACAAACATCAGAGAGTAGTTTTTGTATTAACTTCCATACTAGTTTTTCATTATCCAGCTAATTTAAAAACCACAAGGTTCTTTACTAATGTTGTCTATTTTCAGACGCCAACACATGTTTGTCTCATAACAGACTTTTGTCCGGGAGGAGAACTCTTTGCAGTGCTTGATAGGCAACCCATGAAAATTTTCAGGGAAGAATGTGCAAGGTACCTGTTCCAATTTCCTGCATCTGGGTCAGTTCGTACATACCACTATTTGAAAATCATGATGTTTTCAAAATTTACCTTTTCTTTCATTCTTGAAGTGTATCTCTTACATAATTTCCCAAGTATGGAATATAGTTTTTTTTACAAATAATATTTGTTCCTGTAATAGGTTTGGCCACCTAAAGATGTGTCATCAAAAGTACTTACATCTTACATATTATTACATTTTTTAATCTATTTTACTAGCTTATGATAAATAAAACTGTGGAAACTGATTTGGGGAACTACTGCATTGCTTTTACTGCCATGTAAACCCCATGGGCAGACAAACAAGTAAATATGAACTACTTGATTGAACTTGGATCTGCCAGCCAGATTATTCCTTCCCCCAAATTTGATACAAACAATTATGTTCTGTTGTAGAAACTATCCAAGTATGTAGTTTTCCCATAATGATGATAAAGTTGCTTTTTTCTTAATAAATTATGCTGGGTTTGCATGGATTGCAATGTTTGAAGCTTTTGCTAACTTGTGAATGATTATTTGCAAACAGCTGTTGAGTTCAGTTGTTGTGATATACTGTTTCTGAGGCTCAATAGAATGAAATTGTTTCTAGTAAATAATTTTGTCACATACATGTAGTGTAGGATTGAAGAACTACATGTATGAAAAAAAAAAAGAAGAAAGAAATGTAACAGAATACTACCAGTAGTCTTTTTCTCGAACACCCACCAGAAGTCTTCGATATCCATTCTTTTCAGTCTTCTCTTTTGACTAGTTATGTGAGGCAGACTCACCACCACCCCCACAAGGAACATTTAAAGGAGTAAAGAAATATAAAAATAAGATAATTGAGATTCTTGCCATGAATCCTTATCATCTTATGTTAACTATATCATTCGACTCACCTACTCTCTCTTTTATTATATAACATTATTTTGATCCGTTCTGTAGGTTTTATGCTGCAGAGGTTGTAATTGGTCTCGAGTACCTTCATTGCCTAGGTATAGATGTGTTTACATAATTTAGTGCTCCTATCTTTTGAACAGATTCATTGAGTGAAACCAAGTATTAATAATGTTTACTGTTAACAATCGGCGATCTATTTCTATTTCATTAAAGATACTGATTTGCCATTGGACTTATTATGAGATCAAAGATTGCTAATCTGCATGTGTTATTCCTGCTGTAGGTATTATATACCGTGATCTGAAGCCAGAAAACATTTTGCTCCAAGCAGATGGGCACATTGTACTGACTGATTTTGATCTTTCATTTTTGACGACTTCAAAACCCCACGTAAGTTGAGGGAATAAACTTTCAGGCTTGCTGCAGTTTTTATAGAATATTTGCTAATTCCATTTACCTTCATTTTTTTTGGTCATTTATAGTCTGTATGCTAGAATGTGTGATCGCAAACTTTAAAACAAAAATATACTTCATTCCTGAGTAATGAGCTTTGAGTTTTCCACTTGCATAGTATTCAAAGTCAGTAATGGTGTCAAGAACATGTTTATATTGAGTACTTGTTGGTGGTTTCCAGCATGTGTTTTTGTTGTTCATAAGAAACTATCGCACTTAAAACACTTGATATTGCCCTGATGTTGGTTAAATCTCCTGCAGGTGATAAAAAATTCCACATCATTAAAACGAAGAAGGTCACAAGAATTTCTCCCCCCAACATTTGTCTCAGAACCTTCCACTCCATCAAATTCATTTGTTGGTACTGAAGAGTATATCGCTCCAGTAAGAATGATCCTTGTGTTTTCTTTATGCTTATTGTTGGAGTAATTGTTTTAATTTCAACTTGATATGCATTATCATAAGACCCAGGTGTAGCCTTTTTATCTTTTAGTTAATTTTACATGTATGCTTTTCATTTTTCAGTTCATCTTACGAAACCGCTTGTTGTCAATGTTGGTCTCTGATTCTTTCTCAGCAAGTAGCATGATTGTTGTCTAACTTTTGCATCGTTTTAGGAGGTTATAACGGGTGCAGGGCATACAAGTGCAATCGATTGGTGGGCTCTCGGTAAGCAATAACCTAATATATTTTTTTGGGTCATCTTATGAACTAGTTGATTACAAGAATTGCACAGAATGGATTAAAAGAGTTAGTTTTATTTATTCGATCTTCTTGGTAGTTGGTATAGTCTTATAGCAATCACCTAAAAGATGTTTGAGGTTCAACTAAAATCTCATCAAATTATTCATAATAATCCATGTGCCATTCAAACAAGATTTTGAACATGGGTTTCCACCCAGAGAATAGTCCATATTACCACTTTGACTAAATAATTAGCGGTTAAGTTAATTGTTTTGTGCTACACTGCTATGCATAATTAAACAAAACTCATGTCACAAGTTGCACTGCAGCAAACTTTTGCCTGCTATAACTGATCTATATCACACTTTTTTAATTTACATCACATTAAGTAGGTTAGTCAGTTTAACTAGATAACAGGGATCAAAACAAACATAAAATTGAATGGTGTAATATCCCTTCTAAAAATCCTCTCATGCCTAGCCCTTCCATGGAAGTGGCCTCCGTGTAAAAGGTACCGGTAGGTGCTATGATTAGAACATGTGGGTTTATGTGCTGACTCCAACCTATCCAAATTCTCCATGTGTCAATTGAACCATGCTGCTTAGATGTCAAATGCCTAGAAGCACCCGAAGGTACACTGCCCTCCGTATGTGTTTATTTCTGAGATCTGTATATGTATCTACCACACCAATACATCCCTAGTCTCTCTAGATAATTATAAGATGTGTAAGTACTAGATATGTGTTTTCAGGTACACCTAAGTACCTAACCATGAGAACTTGTTTGATATGGCATTATTATATTGTTTGATATGCATTATGCTAATAATAAGATGACATCCAGCTAACATCAATTCCCATGCTATAGGAATTCTATTGTATGAGATGCTGTATGGGCGTACACCTTTCCGAGGAAAGAACAGGAAAAAGACATTTTATAACATACTGCACAAAGACCTTACATTTCCCAGTAGCATTCCGGTAAGAACTTCTTTTTTAGAGAAATGGCCAGTGAAGTTTCCTGTCATGCAGGCCAATATTTTTTGCATACTGTATTCAATTTGCAACTACAAAGGTTGAGTCCAATTTACAATCTGTCCAGCAAGCCTGTAAGATATCATGTTAAGGGTATGTGTTAGCATGTGTTAGATAAGAAAATGTTTATGCCTATCTTACACTTCGTTATTGTATTTTAGTTTTCATTTGTTCTCATTTATTAATATCACTATGATTCTCCAGGTTAGTCTTGCAGCAAAGCAATTAATCCATGGATTACTTCAGAGAGATCCTTCAAATCGTATAGGTTCAAATGCTGGTGCAAATGACATCAAGCAACATTCCTTTTTTCAAGACATCAATTGGCCACTCATACGTTGCATGGTACTTTGAATGTTTCGAGCATCAAGACATTTCGACAAAGATAGTTTGTTTAGTGCATCACTGATTATCTAAATAACTATATGTGCAGAGCCCCCCTGAACTAGATGTTCCTCTGAAACTAATTGGCAAGGAAACTCAACCAAAAGCGAAGCCTGATGAAGATGTTCCCCTAAATCTTGATACATTTTAAGGTGAGGCAACTTTGAAGTGTTCTAGTCCATATAGGGGGAGAGCTTATTACCATTTTATTTAGATAGAACAAGGTCGTCCTATTTAGGGGTGAAAACGGTCGAAAACGATCGGAATCGGTAGCATCTCTTCAGAAACGATGCTCGATCGGCCGGTAATTGACCATATTTATCATTTTAACTACTCAATATCGATATTAATACGATGCAGAAAGAAATTAGAAAAAAAATTTTAAGATAGCCAAAAACGGTACGGTCAGAAACGGTATCCCTTATACGGAAACGGCGCTCGGTCGATCGGGAATTTCTATGACCGTTTTCTCTCCTGTTCCTTCCTTCCTTTCTTTGCAGACGTTATGTTTTAACTATGTTTGTTGGCAATTGGTAGACTGATTGTATTGATTTTTGCAGGGTAGATCAAACTGGAGCAGTTCTTTTTCCTGTATAGTAATAAGAGGCTTCATGTGATGTTAGCATTGTTGAGTGTTTTCAGTCTGAGCTGCCTCAAAATCGTGTACATGATTATTCTTTTGGTTAGGTAAAGATCTTAGTACTTCACATAAATAGGATATATTCTTGTAAAGCTTATACTCTTTTCTTGGAGATGATTCAATAAAGTAGTAGTGTTTATAATATATTTTAGAAAGTTTTGAAGGTTCTTTGTCTTCTTTTTTTTTTTGCAATAAAGCTAAATATGCGGAGTTATGAGAAAATCAATGCTTGTTTGTACCTTTTTTTTTTGACAAATTTTGCTACAGGATACTCAAAGTTTGTGTAATTTGTTGGTAGACATCGAAAAATGTATAACAATTGGAGAACACTGTAAAAAGCTAATAATTTGCTAGAGGACCCATTCAGCCTAATTGGCTAGAGATTATTCAAAAAGACGAGAATGTCCTTCGAGCCAAAAGCTTCTAACCTGACTTTGGTGATGGAATATGATGTATGCAAGCAATGTACTTTGGGTGATGGAAGATTTAGAGTTGCATAATTTTCAAATTTTCAAATAGAAGCTAAGCTTATATTTTAAAGACTTTCTCTCTTTAATTGGCCGAAAGTATTCTATAACAAATTACCACATTTTGAGTGTGTCCTCCAATCGTATCATGTTTTTACGATATCTACCAGCAAACTATATAAACTTTGAATGTTCTTAGCAAAATTTGTTTTTTTTAAGGATGTTTGTTAGTTCTAGAGGTTAACTCTTCGTAATATTTGGGATGATTGCATACCACCACTAATGGCAAGGGCAACCTGTCATAACTATAGCAACTCCAAGCTAAAGGGGTGTACCGTGTGGCACCAAAAAATCGAGAATACTCAAATTGTTGTTACCTTATAGGTTGCTCTTCCATCTGTGCACCTACCACCACATATGAATATTTTTTTATTTAGACACTTCTAAGAATTTATTTTAAAAAAATTATTTCTAAGAAATGGATAACCTCAAGCACAAAAGCATGACACTGCACACTAAACGTTGGCCTTGTACATTTCAAATGGGATTTAAGGCCATTCCTAACCCAATGACTAGGATGGTGTCTGACGGAGCTCGTGGCTCCTCACCGGGAGACCGCGCAGGCCCCCCTTTGCCAGTCCGGCCGGGGGCTTAGGGTGAAATCTCAAGCTCTCTCTCTCTCTCTGTATATGGAAAGATTGTCTGCCAGCCAGAAAACACGAGACACCGACGATCTATACAGGTTCGGGCCGCTCAGAAGCGTAATACCCTACTCCTGTGTTTTGGTGGATCTATGTATGAATGAGCTACAAGTGTGAGCTCTCTTCTCCCCCGTTCTAAGTTCCTAATCTTGAAAAGAATCAATCCCCTTTACCCCATGGGCAAGGTCCTCCTTTTATACTTCAAGGGGATACCACATGCACCCTTCTCTTTCCAAACTGGACTGTTCTTTTTCTCTAGAATGGGCGGAGATCAGCACGGTTGCTGTTCGAATGACACTCCGATGGGACTGCCCATACCTACCTCCACTTCCGCCGGGGGTGAGCGCGTCGTGGGAACACGGCTGTGCGCTGACGATATGATTAGTGTCAGACCGGTCACAGATCGGTCATTCTTGTCCACCGCGTGTAATCTTGGCAACGTGCATGTTTGCCCTTCTTCACACAACATCTTGCCTGTAATGGTTAGGATGAAGCCTGGCATATATCGACCGGGGCTAACGTGTCATCTCTAAGAGATAACACGCTTAACTCCGGCTTGAGACGAGTGCATAGAGGCTTTCGTCTTGACGGGACGGGGCAAGGCGTGCGCCAGACCGCCAGTTGCCACCTAACCCGTGATCTGACCGGTCTGTGACTGATCACAGACCGGATAAAGGGACGCGCTGTACTGCGCTGCATGCAGCGTGACGCGCTTGACCAGACTGCAATAAATGCTGTTAGGTGAGCACAGCTGTGCTCACTTATCCTATATATATATGGCGCAGATTTCCTTAAGGGGTCGGGGTGCCTCGGCCCTCGGGGCCGGGGCAAGCGCAACCCGACCCCCCCCCCTCGGGGGAAATCAGGAGGAGGGCGGACACCTCACCCTCGGGCCCGACGTCCCCGAAGGTGCCAGGCCACGTGGGCGATTGTGTCTGCCTCAAGCCTCTGGTCATGATACTCCCGGTCCCATATCACCGACAGTAGCCCCCGGCGTTGTGCCAGAACAATTTCCCTTCCCAAGGGAAGCGGTCAGGTGTGACGCCACCCTGTGACAGGTGGGACCGGTTTCCGTAGTTGGGCAAAATACCCAACGGTCTCAATCCATGCACATTGGTATTGGTAACTTTGGTTGTCCATAATGGGCGGTCTATTCGAGACTGCCACACCACTTGAGCAGCGCGCGAATCTGGGTGAGCAGATTTGTCTCGCCCGGAGATACGGTAACGCCGCTTCGGTTGGCGAGCGTAATTAACGCGCGCACGATACAATCCGTTTCGATTGCCACAACCGCATATCCACTTCAAGCGCCGTAAGCGGGCGAATGGGATTAGTGGAAGCGTGGGCACGGGAAACGAGGGAGCGAGATAGCGAGATACGAGGGAGCGAGGTAGTGGGCGCGAGAAACGAGGAGCCAGGCCCAGCGATGGCAAGGGTATAAAAGCATCGAGAAAAGGATTTGCTCCCTTCCTTTCGCCATTGTTCCTCTTGCCTTCGCTGCCTGAGCTCTAACTCTTTCTCTGCCACGCCCTACTTTCGCCACACGCGCTCGTTCCCAATCATCTCTTCCTCCACCGCCATGGCACGGGGCTCTGCTCTGCTCGACGGCAGTGTACTGCCGCCTTCCCGCATCGTGAATGAGAGGCACGCCGGACTGCCGCGCCGCTTCATGCCGGAGTCCGCCACCGGTCGGGAGATTGTGATGCTGGGCGAGGGGCGCCCGGCACCAGACTACCCGGGGCGGTCCATCTTCTTCCTCCCCTTCGCGATGGCTGGGCTGGTCCCGCCATTTTCTCATTTTTTCATGGATGTTCTGGAGTTCTACAATCTCCAGATGGCGCACCTCACCCCCAATGCGGTGATGACACTGGCCATCTTCGCGCACCTGTGCGAGATGTTCATTGGGGTGCGCCCCTCTCTTCAGCTGTTCCGGTGGTTCTTCACCGTGCAGTCGGTGTCACCGCCGTCGGTGGTTGGCGGCTGCTACTTCCAGCCGCGGGGGCCGGTGCTGAACCGCTATATCCCCTGCGTCCTCCGCAAGAAGTGGGACGACTGGAAGAGCGACTGGTTCTACACCCCCCTCGCCGACGAAGCGCGCCTCCGCCTTCCAAGCCAGCCCCCGGCGCAGGTCTCTAACTGGCGGGCGCCGGTAGATCTGGGGGAGGAGTACGACGCCGTCCTCGACCGCCTGGCGGGCCTGCGATCCCAGGGGCTCACCGGGGCCATGGTGTACGGCGATTACCTCCGTCGCCGGATTGCGCCGCTCCAACGGCGCGCTCGGAGCGCCTGGGAGTACACTGGGCCTGAAGACTTCATGCGGACCCACCAGGGAGCCAGATGGGATTGGGCTCCCGAGGACTTCAAGATCGTGGTCCAAAGGGTGCTGAACCTTAGCTCCGCGGAGGCGTCTCACCTTCCTCAGGAGATCCTCCCCCTCTGCATCGATCCCGACCGCGTCTCCATTCTATCCATTATGCTGGGGGTCGGGGCCTCAGAGGAGAGAGCCCCTAAGGGCAACGACGGCGCGGGCGAGCGCCGCCGGGGGAAACAATCTGCCCCGGGAGGGGGTCGTGCTTCTGGGCCCCGCGTCGGGGGCTCGGGGAGCAGCCGCCCTGCCGACGCCCCGGGGAAGAGGAAGCTGGGAGGAACACCTCCCCCATCTCCCCCCCGAGGGGGCGGGGCGGTGCGTACCAGTGGCCGGCGCCCGGAGGGGGCCGCGCCGACGTCTCAGCCCGAGGGGGAGCGCAAGAAGAAGCGGCTCCGCAAGATGGGGGAGACGGAACCAGCCCGGGGAAACCTAATTTCCCCCCCAAGGTGGTCATTCAACCGACCCCCTCGCAGGTTCGTCTTACTCTCATTGCAACCATCTTTCTCCAAAAAGAAGTTTTTTCTTGCTCACTTTGTTCGTCTTCTGGCTTTTTCTTCTGCTTCAGAGACGTCCCGTCGCATTCCTCCCGCCACCCCAAGTCCGGCCAGTTCGAGGCCGAGGATCCAGCGGCCGCAGAGGAGCGGAGGCGAGAGTCTGACCGGCGTGAAGCCGCAGCCCGCCTTCGGGAAGCTGAAGAGGCCGCCCGGGAGGCCGCCCGGGTTCGCCAAGCGGAGGAAGCTGCTCGGGAGGAGGCCGCCCGGGCTCGCCAAGCCGAAGAAGCTGCCTGGGAGGAGGCCGCCCGGGCTCGCCAAGCTGAGGCGGCAGCTGCTGCTGGCGCGTCACTCGGGCCCAGTCCCTCGGGCGGCCCTCAGGCGACATCCTCCGAGGCGGCTCGCGATGAGGCCGCGGGCGCGTCGCCTGGGCCTACCTCACCGGGCGACGCCCAGGACCAAACGGGCCCGGGGGACATCCCCGAGCTCAGCGTATCCTCCGGGGGGCCAAGCCGCGTCGCTTTTTCTCCAAGGCGGCTTTTCTCCTCCTCTTCTGTCGCCCCGGTGAGCGCCGAGCCCATTATGCAGGCCTTGGCCGCCGCAAACACCGCGGTACTAGACGGATTTAGCGCCCAGGTGGAGGCCTTGCGAGCGGAACGAGCGGAGCTCGAGGCCGCATGGGCGCGCGTCGAGGAGGGGCGGCGCTCGGTGGACGCCATGGTGGAGGTGGGCCGTAAGGCTCACCGCCGCCACATCTCGGAGCTCGAAGCCCGCAAGGCGGCGCTGGCGGAGATCGCCCGAGAGGTGGAGGAGGAGCGAGAGGCCGCCCTCGTCGCCACCACCGCGATGGTCGAGGCGCAAGACACCCTCCGTCTTCAGCACGCAAGCTGGGAGGCGGAGCTGAAGAGCAAGCTCGACGCCGCCCAAGGGGTTCTCGACTCCGCTGCCGCCCGAGAGCGGCGGGCAACGGAAGCCGAAGCGGCGTCCCGGCGGCGCGAGGAGGCCCTTGAGGCCCGTGCCATGGCGCTGGAAGAACATGCCGGCGCCGTGGAGAGGGGCTTGATGGACCGCGAGGCCGCCACTGCTCTCCGGGAGGCGACGCTGGCGGCGCACGAGGCC